CTCTTTTACATATTTATCAGATTTTGATACCAACTTATGGGATTGGTTTATTGCATCAATAACACTATCATTATATGATAAAAATAAATCTAGGCATCAGCTATCCAAACATGGGCATATATTTGTGAGGTCCATGGATGTTATTGAAGGACAACACATTGTACCTATGACGAGAATCAAAATTAGATTATCAGATTTGCCTTTCAACTCAGGAACTGCCTCAATTGTACCTAAATTCATCTTCCCGAGGCAAGAGAGTTAACTGACTGTAAAAGTCCAGTTTCCACCCTAGCCGAACTAGGCTGGTATTATGGAGTTACATTTTGGCTGGACTAACGAGTCTATGCATAGTCCAATGAAAATCGCACAACGAAATCGAAATCCAGTTCGTAAACTGTCATATTTCAGTCGTTTGCAGGATTTGTAAAGCATGTGCACAGCCAACTCATTGTCATTAGATATTTTCCAAACCTTTTCATGTTTTTAATCAAGGTGCTCGCGTGATTTGATGCACTTTGCGATGTAAGACCCGTTTTATCACAATATAGATCTTGATTATCGATCAGTTTGTCTTGACTGGACGCCGACATTTTGTTTGAAACAAATGCAAGTGATGGAATCTGACTGGTCCATAGGAGAGGCTGACAGGGGACATAACTCGTAATAACCACTGGTGGCGCTACGAACGAGCCAAGGAATTCCAGCCTAATTCGGCAAGGGTGGCAACTGGACTTTCACAGTCAGTTAACTCTCTTGCCTCGGGAAGATGACCTAAACTCAGATCTGTACAAGCTTTTCATACTTTCTTCCTCAACTGAGAAACAAGCATCTGAAGGTGATCAATATGTCAATGTACAAACAATGATATCTGGAATTCTACATTCAGAAACAAAAATGACCACATGGAATACAAATATCCAAGAGTCTCACAGGTATTTCTGACAACAATAAAAATGACAACTATGCACATTTTCAACAAGCGCAGCTGGATGCCTTTGGGAGTAGCAGACAATAAATCAATTCTTGACCTAACAAACTAGTGATTGATATCATGAGCACCGACCCAACCGTTAATGTGTGATGACGCAATCAACAAAGTCACTGAACATGACGACCCGATCCATTGTCACCTCTTAAAACAAGCACTGGGTGCTGGGAGATGTTGGAACCTTGAATCCTAATAGGTATTCAATATATGGCCAATGCTCAGAAAAATGACGGACAAAGGTGTCAATGTACCGTCCACTGATTTCACAATGCATTTCTATACACTGAAGGCAAAGTGTTTTGGTGATGTCCACTGACAAGAGTAAGTGAGTCAGTAAGATTTTACTCTGCTTTTAGCAATATTCCAGCAATATGACAGCATGGAAGATCCTTGTAATAGGCTTCACACATTCACTCATGACAAATGAGCACACTAACCACTAGACCACCCCACCACTCCTCAACTGACAATGTTCCTCTTCCCAACCGATACCAAAGTGTGTCACCAAGTCTGAACATCCAGTCATACCGGGAATCAAACACAGGTCTTCATCATGACAAATGAGCACATTAACCACTAGACCACCCCATCACTCCTCAACTGACAATGTTCCTCTTCTCAACCAATAACAAAGTGTGTCACCATGTCTGACCATCCACTGATACTGGGAATCAAACACAGGTCTTCATCATGACAAACAAGCACATTAACCACTAGACCACCCTGTCACTCCTCAACTGACAATGTTCCTCTTTCCAACCGACATCTAAGTTTGTCATTAAGTCTGACCATCCAATCGACTAAGTCGCCTTATAGGACCAGCATCAATTGTGGGGAGGAATTCTCCCACCAAATCCCCACAACCATCACACAGAATGTCTTTGAATCTGATATGGAAAACAGGATTTCTGATGATGACTGAGTGTGCGCTGATGGTTGTATACTCTTCCACAAACACATCTGACAGTGATCTTGTCATGAATAGCTCTCTTGTGATATCTCAAACCATGCATGCGAGCAAACACTTTGGGACACCGATCACACGCAAATGTTCTCCGGGGGCCTGGAAGATTTTCACCAAAATTAACTTTCAAAGCAGCAAGTAATTGTCCTTCTGGTCCAAGATGAAACTGATCGGTAGCAGAAGTTCCCATTTTATTGGAACCTGAAAATAACAAAAAGGAGGCCTTAGTCTGTGCCTGCAGCAGCTGAGCCGCATGTACCATCGTCTGAAGCACCAGACATCAGTGAACACAACTAGTAATGGGCAAGTGTGTTTATCAGCAATTGTGCTGCTGTGTGAATGGAACCAGGCTGGAATACACAAACTGGGCGATGGTGGCATGTCTGTTGGATGTGACCTGTCTTTACTGTGCTGATTGATACTGATGCAACTCGAGACCCTAAAAAAATCACCTGGATTATTACACAAAACTGTCACAGCTACCTTCACTGGAAGTAGAAAACAAGTGGATGATAAACGATAGTCAGCAAAAGTGAGCTTAGACACAGCCACCATTCTGCTAGACCAAATTCTGATGTGATGCTTTCTCATCTTATCTAATAAGCTTCACAAACCACAAATCTGAAGATGGACCTAACGCACAGTGTCTAACCCGATGTAGATCATATTATCATCACTAACAGTTGCTAAGCTCACTGACAATCACTGGACTGCAAAAACTCCTTACTGGCTTGTGTGAACAGGCGGAACCTTGAGTCACAGTCGGACAATCTGACTAACACAAACAATTACCAGACTATATGCACAGGGTTTACTCTAGGAATTTTCTTACATGGGCCCTTTATGTGAAAATTTCAAATATTTCAGAGGTACACCCACACCTGCCCATACAGCACATTGGTAAAATGCCCCATTGTATTCGAAAATGTGGGCCTTTATTTTTCAAATTTAGGGGCTAGAAGCACAAGGCCCCACCCTAGAATTATCCCTGAATGCATACACAGCATGTCCACCTGGTTCGAAGAAAGTTGCTCCAATTTTCTATTTTGTGACACCAAAGGTGCTGACAGCAGTAACAGAAAGAAGCCTCAGTAAACCTCAGAATACTTTATTACACAGTGTTTTTTGCTTGGTAATATTATCTCCGTTAAAAATCTTCAAGAAACACCATCCCCAGCCCTCTCTGCATAAGGACCAGCACTGAGTCTGTCAATGGAATGTCATTTTGTAACTTGAAACTCCACAATCCCTGCTCAGATCCGAGCACATTCTGACCACTGCTAGTGGCAGATCCTTTTTCATTTCAGGCAGATCCTATTTTTTTACTCTTTCAAATATATTTCTAATTCAATAACACGAAAAAAATATTTCAGATCTGACTGCAAAAGTAATGAGGTAAAAATAGATGAACTGATGTTTTCCATAGCATCTGAAATTTGTTTTGCTTTTTCTTTAAAAAAATCAAACCAATCTCCCCCACAGACATTTTCTCTTGAGGAAAACCCACCAGTAGATAAACTAAGACACCTCTAATGAGATGGACAATGACATATGACAATTGTGTTTAACCGGATATAGACTAGCTTCTCGTCAGTGGCCATATCTGCACACGTTATTCCATTAGCAAGTGGTAGGTGAGGTGAAATGGGGTTTAACGTCACGTCCAAGATTGTTGTACTTAAAAAGCGACGTGCATGCACGTGTGTGTGTGTGTTTGGCTGCTTGTACTAGTCTGGACTGATGCCGATTTATAGTGCTAGCTCACTGAGATACCATGCCGCAGTTTAACATGAATACCCCACTCAGACACAGTATACTGACTCCGAGCTCACCAGTCCTTGTTTTAGCCCCTAATGTCGAGCGCCAGACAAGGTAACAACAAGTACCTTCATCGACATCTATAGTAACGACATCTTTTAATGTCTTTCAGTATGACGCGGCCAGGGATCGAATCCCGGACTTTCCGCTCTCCGGGTGGACGCTCTACCACTAGACCACGGAGGCAGTCTTATCAAGTGGTAGGTGACAGACTGTTCATGACTTTACATACAAAACAAATATGTCGTGCTGACAGTGTTCGAAATAACCGACTGCCCATAGTCCCTTGGCAGGAAGACCTTGTGTCGACTCGCAGTTTCAAATTCATATAGGGCCTTAGGGCCTGCTGTAAATTTACGTGTTGATTTATTTGTGACAATAATCTGCAGTTTTTTATATCAGGGCCTGAAGAGTTTTTTCAGGGCCTAATGCTTCTAAAGTCTGGATCCTGATGGCAGCCTGGCAAAAATAAATTTCAAACAGTTTGCTGCGTCGTGAGCACAGTAATACAGGATATCAAACGGACTGATTTCATCAGAATGACTGACTGACTGACTGACTATGGTTTTACGCCGCTTTTAGCAATATTCCAGCAATATCACGGCGGGGGACACCAGAAATGGGCTTCACACATTGTACCCATGTCGGGAATCGAACCCGGGTCTTCGGCGTGACGAGCGAACGCTTTAACCACTAGGCTACCCGACCGCCCCTCATCAGAATGAAAAGTATCCTTCAAATTTATTTACACAGAACATCAAATGCTCAAGTTTTTAACCATGATGCATCATTCATGGAGGTAATAAATAAGTAAGGGGTATGCATCTTACATCACTTGCCCCAAATTCAAATCCAGTTACATTTTCATCCAACTAGAATGTATAACTCATACCCCATTATTCGAAATTATGGGTAGGAACGCAGAGAATACTTTAACATCAACCATATGATTATAAATATGTAATCATCTCTCAACGCACATGGTGAGTATAGTTTTACGCCGCTTTTAGCAATATTCCAGCAATATCACGGCGGGGGACACCAGAAATGGGCTTCACACATTGTACCCATGTCGGGAATCGAACCCGGGTCTTTGGCGTGACGAGCGAACGCTACCCGACTGCATCTCTCAACATACATAAATAACAGTAAAAAACACAAAGTTTGTAGAATACAGAAGTATTTTCTAAGGTTACTAATAAATGATACACTGATTACATATATTAAAGGCCTCTTTCACAAAGCTTTATTGCAACAAACCGAATACACCCATGCAGTGAGCATGAGACTAAAGCCCCCTTTACACCATCAAAAACTTGGATAAAAAAATATGGTCAAAGTCCATTTTGACCAAGTTTTTGATGGAACTTTGATGGAATAGAAATCGATCTTATTTCTCGTCAAACTTTGATCAAAGTTTGATGACGTTGATTTAATTTAGACAATCAGACTGCAAGGAACAGTTACCCCTTTTCAACCGGAAATGCATAGAGTCAAGTCAAAATGAGTCAACTATTTTGGACTGACGAGATGTTGGAAGAATTAACTGATTTGTTTCAACAACGAGCAGCCATTCTCAGGACCAAATATGCCTTTGCTTACCCCGACGTCGCCTTCTCAACATGGCAATACACAAAATACATATGACAACAGCAAACAATTTTTCGTCAGTAGCATCCATCTTGGCAAGATAATTCCCACCAAAACTTTGACGGCCTGTCAAAAACTTGATGAGTGTAAACAGTCAAACTTGGACCAATTTTTTGATAGTGTAACGGGGGCTTAAGTCTTGTATGAAGATAACATGCAGCAAGCTGGATTTAGCCAAGCTTACCGTAAAAGACATTTTAAAAACTAGCACTCTGTTTGTCATAACAGACATACTTCCCCTTAAGTGTGTAGATATGTACTTCATAAGCGTTTTCACATAATAATGGATCATGGAAACAGTTTTTCACAGCCGGAGCACCATCACTGATTAGTGCTGTGACAACCATGCAGGATTGCCGAATAATGTCGCTTCTGATTGAACAAAGAGCCTGTGTTATACACAAAGAAAGTTGGTTGGTTCCTTTGGCCAGTCATGGTTTCAATAACTCGCGAGTCGACTCCGGCATGGGAGAGAAGCGTCAGCGTGGTGGCGCGGACACAGTGGTTTGTGTAGATCTTGCTGAGTTTGTATTCAGTGGATATTCCTTTCATCATCTGTGAGAGTGTGTTGTGGCCGACGGCTTTCAGTGTGTACCAAACATTCTCCAGTTCCTGCGCGTGTTTACGCGGCTGTTGAAAAAAGGCCGAGTTCTGGGGGTTCAATTTTGAGCAGTACTTTCGGAACGCTGCCACAGGACAGGATCGGGAGCCTGTTGCGTAAATACGAGGTTTGCCTTGCACTTTCTCAGTTGGATTTTTAGCAGCCTCTGTGTGTCTCAGTGTTAAGAACTCTACCCCTTCATCGTCTGTTTCAATGGAAAAGGAATGAACAGTCAAATCCCTTTGATTCTCACAACCTCGCCTTCCAAAGCCTAAGGTAATATCAAACCACACTTTGCGCTGGAGATTTATCGGGGAATTTATGGACTGAAATTCTCGAATTCGTGTCAAATCCTCCGGAGATATTGCTTCATAGTGTGCAACACTGTCAAGACCTAGTTTCTTAATATTTCCCAACACACCCATGAACACCTTGTTAGCATTGTGGAATTCTTTATCTTGCAGAATGTTTATGTTTCTATCATACGGAGGTGAGCGCAGACGCCGGTGAATGGCCGCTCTCAGGCCAATATATGATGACTTTGAGTAATATTGACCATCTTCAGTGCGAACCTCTGCATAAAACTGTCTTAAGTGTGCACTTAATTCTTCAGTCGGGAGTTCCTCAAACTCTGTTGATTTGTCATGTTGTGTCAGCCATTCTGAATAAAGAGGAATGATGTCTTGTCAGGCAAGCCTGTCTAATTGTTCTGACATTCTGATTGTGCCTCAACTCAGCAAGATTATTAGTTTTTATCTTATATGTTTTAAAAACAAATTACAAAATAAACTTTTTTACCATTTCTACAACATACAGGGTTCAAAATTCACGCAAGTTGACTTGTCCAAGACCAGTAAATTTCAGGAAGAACTAGTAACAATTCCTTGTGGACTAACACTTTGGCAAAAAGCAAACTCTACAGCTGAACATGTCTGTAGACAAGTGGAAAATAAAATAAAATTTCTAACCCTAATATACAAAGTCTCTTACATTGCACTTCAAACATAAATCAAAATAAAAGAAGTTAATTGTTCTCACGTCTAAAAATATTTACTCCCCATAGCGTAGTTCGCTGGGTGCTTTTGGCTCTCCCATCCAGTAATATGGAATCTAGTTCAGACTCCTCAACTGTAGCGAAACGCCCTGTAGACGCAGACTGACTTGTGGGGCTCTCTGGAACAATCCTATCCTTGTCATCTGTAGGAAATAATTCCCATGTTTATAATACAGCCATAAGGCTCTGCACTCCATTTGGCATTTCGATTATATGTAATTAGGGATCAAATTTGGGAACCTTTGAAAAAGAATTCAAACAGGTGACATCTTATTGCTATTGTCATGATTACTTATATAATGAGACGCATAACTGCAGTAGACTCAATGGTACAAGTGCCATCAATTCATAAACAGATGAAAACTCACGTGATGAGTACCCCCTACATGTTGGTTGGTTGGTTGTTTAACGCCGTACTCAGCAATATTCCAGCTATATGACGGCGGTCTGTAAAATAATCGAGTCTGGACCAGACAATCCAGTGATTAATATCATGAGCATCGATCCACGCAATTGGGATCGATGACATGCATCAACCAAGCCAGCGAGCCTGACCACCCGATCCCGTTAGTCGCCTTTTACTACCCTACATGTATGTTGACAGACACCTTCACTTCAAACTAATGTGTGAGCATGGGGATATGCCGCTTTTAGCAATATTCCAGCAATATCACATCGGGGGACACCAGAAATGGGCTCCACACATTGTACCCATGTGGGGAATCTAACCTGGGTCTTCGGCATAACGACTGCTACACCATTGTTCCCATTTCAAATTAAACCACTGGTCAGCTTACAAAATTACAATAGCCTTTACCTAAGCATAATAATGTTAACTGTTTACTTGAATTACATTACTGAAAGTCATACTTGCAAGTAATGGCCACACACTCATCAAAATTAATATGATTCATATCGCCATTCATTATTACCTAACATGTCAATATGGAGCCCCATTCCATCCTCGCTCTCCTCATCGTCTACATTCCTTGATGTTGATGCATTTGGATCTGTGACAATGTATTCATCTTCGGTTGGCACGGCACCACTCATTTCCTGTTTCACATCTGTTGATACATATATAAATATTTCCAAGCTGATTTTTAGCGCATTTTTGTAATCATGGTGATTGACAAGAAAGTTCTTTTTCAAATATAATTCTGATGAAATTATCATGTTTTGTTTACTTGATTAAACCATGACCAATGTCAATTCACATATTATTTACAACTGATAAAGGTATTAACTATAAAACATTATCATTACCATAATTGATTTTTATAGTTTTAAATAAATCCTCAAAACTGCATTGAAAGTACACATGGTATTGTCCGTTGTAGTTTTCTATGGTGGCAATGAACCAAAACGACATTTTAAATATGGCTGCCATAGCGGCCATAACCACAATGCTGAGTTCCACATTTTTTAAGACCTTGTGGCCAAAGAGGAAATGTCTAAGACAGACAAAAGCTCACAATGAAAGCAAACAGACAAATGAACGAAAGATGACAGACGTGCCATGAAATAACTTAATTTCATCCTTCAATAAAAATATTATCAATCTGGTAATGAATATTATTAAGGGAGATGACCCCATTTAATTAAAAAAGTTTTTATTCATCTAGCCATTTATTTAAATTATTACCTAAAATGTTGTAACTGACTGCCATTTCATCAGAGTTGACCCCATCACGGAGCTCCCTTGATGCCGATGTATTTGAAGCATCTGTGGCAATGCACTGATCCTCTGTTGGCAGGGCAACACTTCCTTCCTCGTTTATATCTGTTAATAATTCAATGTAAAGTTTCAGATTGGTGACTTAATTTATTTGGTACATTGTGACAATATCAAATTAATGATCACTTTACTTCTGACTATTAATTAACGCTATGATAACTTGATTCATACCATGTTCTTCAACTGAAACAGTCCTTTTCTTATTTGTTGTGATTTATTTATATATCCTCATCTGAAATGTTAAAACCAACTATTATTGAATCAACTTGTTCATTTTTCAAAGGAAAAAGCCAAGACAAAATCAGCAAGTTCTTAGTCTCTTTCTTTCTACCATGTTGATGTAATTTTGGAGTTAATGACTATGCGGTAAAGCCAACGCAAGATCGATAATACGGATTACCGAATGGATCAATGGCTCAGTTTTAACTTCCCCAAATAATACCTTCATGATCATAACGTGAGCCTTATATCACTTTGTAGAACGGAGCGACAACTCACATACTTTAACATAGGATTACGATGATCATAACGTGAGCCTTATATCACTTTGTGGAACGGAGCGACAACTCCCATACTTTAACATAGGATTACTATGATCGTAACGTGACGCTAATATCACTTTGAGGAATGGCGCGACAACTCCCATACTTTAACATAGGATTACGATGATCGTAACGTGACCCTTATATCACTTTGTGGAACGGAGCGACAACTCCCATAGGCTTACGATGATCGTAACGTGACTCTGATGTCACTTTGTGGAACGGCGCGACAACTCCCATAGGCTTACGATGATCGTAACGTGACTCTGATGTCACTTTAAGGACAGGCCCTGGTCAACCAATGCACAAGCCTACCCAACACCGTTCTACTCTTTGGCTGACACGAGACACAGAATCATTCTGTGCTGCAGTAAGTCTGAACAATGTGACAATGCTGTGGTGGTCAACACCTCATTCCACAGCATTTCACATTCACTATATCAGTAAGTTCAGTCCGTGACTTTAGTTACTATTCACTGTTCATTGTTTTTTCTCTAAACCGTCCAAGCTGACACAAGTTCGTAAGTTATGACAAAGTGTTCTGAAAACAAAGTTGAAAGAACACAAGGCAAATAGTATATTTACAAGTTTTGGCATTGGCCGTAAGTTGCAAACACGTTTTGGCACAGACTAGAAGTTGCACATGTATACAAGTTTTTAGCACAGACTAGAAGTTGCACATACAAGTTTTTGGCACAAAGCATAAGTCGCACTTTAGCCGCACCTAAGCCAATCCAGTCCCCACTCATAACTGAAGCACAGGGCAAACTGAAGCACCGAAACCCTGCTCCAGCTGTGAAAAGCAAACACAGTTTTCCATTCTATTCAACACATGCAACAAACAAAGTGTGAAACACAAAGAAACCATAGCAACCAAAACCAAAAACTGACTTCAGGACTGCACTGGTACCAATAATCCTTGTCCTGCACCATGACCGTAGAATATATTTATCTCATGAAAAATAATAATCTAGAAATGCATACAAAAGCAAGTCTAGCCAGCTCAAGCTAGCTCTATTCCACATTCTGAAATCAGCATAGGGAATTTTTTTTTTAAGAGTCAAGAAGGATATTGTGTAATACAAGATTTCAGAGACTAAATGTGAGTCTACAATAATCCATATTCTCAGATTAAAGAGATACTCAAGAAAAAGCGCCAACAACAACCCTACCGCAAAGTTAGTCTGAGAAATAGTCCACATTTTCAGATCATGAAAATAATCTGCCGGATAATCTCTCAAAACAACATTAACATTATCAGGATCATATTCACTTGGCATCAAGGATCCGGACACGTCTAGGTTTACTCCAATAACTTGGCTTCAAATGTTTCCTTCCATAGTGTTTGTAACAAATAGATGGTCTAATCATGAGATGCAAATTTGTACTGTGATATACAGGTATCAAACGGCAGAGAAACATTATCAAGTAACAACAATGTCACACCAGATCTGTGTCCTTTAACCATGGCTGTGATAATACAACTAGACGTGAATTCTGCAAAATAACAACAGCTATAAATCAGCTTTTTCAGTCTGCAAGTACAATTAACAGCGGTGACTATTGGTCTGGAAATCACTATTGCAATAACTATTGATATTGAAAGAGACTATTGCGATCACTATTGATATTGCAAGCAACTATTGCGATAAATATTGATAGTTTTCAGTGTATCATTTAAGATGGATTTTAGAGTCGAATTAAACCTTGGAACAGAAGTCTCCTTTAAATGTGATAACCATAACAACAAATAAAAAGTGAAGTTTGAGATATGACTGATTTGTTTTTTCTTTACACACATCAATACAACCATGTGTAATCATGTCATACAGAACACACGAAGCTGACAGCATGAGCAGCCATCACTACAGGTTGGGTATGATGACACACCAGGGCAACCAGGCATGTACAACCTGGGACGCATCCATGAGAATATCACCACTGAAGGCGACATTGAGGTTTTCAACCATTATAAGTTTTTTCACCTGATCTCGCAGTATATGTCATGCATCTGTATCAGCGGGCTACATGGAAAATAGTTGCCTGCTTCTTAACCAATCAGAAGCTAGTATTTTAATGCAAGGTAAGATAAAATCAGTTGTATTTCCCCCTTGGGCGACACAGAAAGTCGCATTACGACATGGTCACAATACACACAGCGCTACTAATCGCTACAAACTTATAATATTCATTAAACCAAAACTGTTGGAGACTCAAGATTATTACAACTGTCCATTGAAATATCAGGTTATTTAATACAAAATTGTTTTCAAGAAGACCCTTATCAAGAAACAAATATACATCTACAGAAGAGTAACTGTCAACTTTCATATGAGGATAGGCAGCCATAACACGAGGACAATTTCTCCACCTTCTATCAACCAGTGCTTGCTGCAATCAGACAGGGAACTGACCAACAAGAGGCTGATGTTGTGGGCAGTTGGGGTACAATCACACACTAATACAACCAGGAGACCAGCGTCTTTACATGTGGTGTCACACCTGACACAGGTTTGGTTGTAAAAATCAACTGGGAAGACATCAGCCCCCATTCTTCAATACGAGCCCATTTAATGTCTTGGATTACTCTTCACTATGCCACAATGTCATAAACCTTAACTGCTTGTCATTCTAGCACAATATGGCTGCTTTCAAAACCGGTTGTTATTTTGCAGAATTTCATCAACGAACACGGAGGTATCCTAATGTTGACGAGCTTGGGAACGTCCTAGCCCAGGCCACAGTTGAATCAGGAAGCCAGTGTGTGGACTTACCTTGTGATGCCAGGAACCACGCCCCCTTCATCGCTGTACTGTGGCACTGGGTGTGTCAACATGGCAAGTGACAAGATGGATTAAAGCTTTAAATGTCTATCAATATTAATTACCAACCCCAAAAGCCATAATTGATCTTGTCACTTTATTTGTCATAATTATACAAGAAACAGTGTGATTGTAAGTGTAATATAATAGCCACAAAAGCCCTGACCTCCTTACAGTGGGAACATGAACTATCTTGAAGTAACGTCATCATACATGAGTGGCAAACTTGAAAACAAAATCAGATGCAATCCAGGATATAAGATCAAAATTCAACTGAAAATGTTTAAATGGAAACTTTATTTGACAATATTTAACCAAATGCATGTCTATTTTCTGTTCAATGAACTCCTGGATAACACAAACAAAACCAGGAAATCAAAGGTTTCTGATTTGATAACGGAAACCCAAGTGTTATACGTTCAGTCACCACCCAATTTGGAAAAAGATTTCTCAAAACTATTTCCATCATCAAATCAGGTTAATCTCTGATTTATACATGTAAGAATACACAAGGCCATGATATCAAATGTGATATATATACTGGTCAGAGAATGAGCACTATTAAGGATGCGTTTTTTCCTTTATATGTCACAAAACCTATTAATCGCCAAATGATGCAAGTTTTTTTAATTCTTGCATTAATTTGTTTCATCAACCATGGCCTTATAGTTCTTCAAGTGCAGATGTATGACTATTAGTGTTCTGTATCAGTGCTAGATCATACTCTCACCAATATGCTGAGAATCTGGTATCCATGTTAAGCTAATCAAAATTCTTGAATTATTTCCAGTACAACAGACTTGTTTGGCCAGATAGAAACTTAAGAACTGAAATGTCATTTATTTATAATCTACTAGCCCAAACTTGGCTCTAAGCATAATTTTCAGTACAATTTAGCGTTGTAATGTGGACTATTCTTAGCTAGGCTTACAAGACAGAACACATTTTATTCTTTGGCTTTGGACGAGTGACAAAAGTCGCACACTGACAATGTCAATACTGGACTTGAAACAGTGGACTCGCAACGCTGAAGTTCAGAACCTTAACTCTCCACATGGTCCTTATTTGGCCAGCTGGAAATTTAAACCACACATTAACAGCCTTCGGAATTCACACTAGTCTGCTAGTCTTAGACTTCTAAATTGAGCAGAGGCCAAGTAAAAAGCCAGTCAGGTAGTCATTGACTAGTACATTCAAAGCTAATAATTCTGAACCAGTTCTCAACGTTTCAATTTTGACACAAATTGGCAGTGAATGAAACTGACAGAAATGTAAACATAGTAAACATTTTTCTTGTGTTAAAGTAGGACTAGCTACAAACTCGAAAGACTAGTTTAAATTCTTTGTTTCTAAAACTGCATTGAAATTCAGGAATTTTACCTCATTGTCGAGAAAACTGTCTGCCTCACACATCTGGCAGCATAATGCCATTTTGTTTTACAATCATAGTAAAATACACAGAGAATATGGATACAAGGAAGACTGTCTCGGTCCCCTAACCTTATTATTTTCCCTTCTGCCAAACCCTTACTGTACTGCTATAGCAATAACTGAAGCAAGCCTAGATTTTCAACAGGTTCTGAATCTCCCTTCTCACTGGGGCTAGATTTTTAATCTAAAACGAGTTATAACCGCAATGTGTCTGTTTCAACTTGGCTTACCATCTCACATCAAGTAATTACACATTTCAGAGTTTTTCTTTCTTCTTATTTTGATACTGCAGTCAGCATCATTTGCAGTCACAAGAAGGTACTGACATAATACAGACCCTTATGGCATAAAATGTTTTTCCACTTCATTCATTGTTGCATGAACATGAAGCATACTAAGAAAGGATGCAGCAGTCATAAATTAATTCTCCTATTCTTATTCATTATGATAATTGTTTACTTTTACAACATGTACAAAGCATAGCAAAACTGATACCAAACAATGGAGGCAGTGATAGACACTAACTTTTTTATTCCTATAGTCCTTATAATTGATAACATATAGCAAACCCTTAAAATTGGCAAATAACTCCTAGTCCTCATGATACTTTTACTATTGGGCAGTTTGGCAAGGCCTACAGGACTAGTGCTACTTCGTAACGGTGTGGAGGGTAATATTCTCAGCTGATGATATGATCGAACACTGTACAAAACTGAACTGCTGGCCCTATTCAGACTTGGGTGATGGACGGACGGACGGATGTGTGTTGTCATGGAAGCTTACTAAGAAAGAAATGGAGTGAGTTGGTTTTAACGCCGATTTGAACAGTATTCCAGTTATATCATGGCGGGTCAGCTTAATGTGGGAGGAAAGCCTGAAGTGATGCAGGTCTCGTGTCACACGTTTACTATTTTGGTGAAACCCACGAGCTCGTAGATGGTGCTGACACGAGAAACATGATCGGGTTGAACTGGAATTCGGACCCACAATCATAGGTTTCCGGAACTCTGCTCTGCAAATTGTGGCACCTTAAACGAGTGTGAGGAAGAAATGAAGGAGTATTCTCATTATATTAATTAAGGGTTTGTAGGATAATATGTTTATGTTTATAATATGAGGCCGATATTATGACTGCAGTAAATGGACCCGTGAAGAGCCGGGGTAGAATAGGTCTTCAGCAAAACATGCTTGCCGTAAAAGGTGACCATGCTTGTTGTAAGAGGCGACTAACGGGATCGGGTGGTCAGGCTCGCTGACTTGGTTGATGCATGTCATTGCATCCCAATTGCATGGATCGATGCTCATGATGTCAATCACTGGATTGTCTGGTCAAGACTCGATTATTTACAGACCGCCATCATATAGTTGGAATATTGCTGAGTGCGGCTGAACAACCAACCAACCAGTAAATGTTAAACATGTTAAACATTTCCGAATGGAGAATGGCATAAATATTTATTTCTTAACCTTAATTGGGAATTTTTAGGCTACAGATCGTTAACACATATCTTTGATTTACTTTGAAACATTTATGCTGAGTGAGTATGGATTTTATGCCGCTTTTAGCACTATTCCAGCAACATCACCAGAAATGGTTCCACTTATTGTGAAGAATCGAACCTGGGCTTTTGGCGTGATGAGCGAATGTTTTAACCACAAGGCTACCCCATTTATGTTGAATAACTTACCCATGCTTTATGATAAACAATAGGAATTGTAAAAAACAACAACTGATGCATGGGCATAGGACTGGGGGTGGCTCTATTCTCTACATGACATGCAAAGTTGCTGAAGGATGTTGTTACACGCCTCAGTCAGCAATATTCCAGCTGTATCACAGCAGTCTGACAGACAAGTTGTTCATAAAATGAGAAATTATCTAAACTTCTTGCCATCAAATCTTCATTAGACAGTTGATAGATGGTTCTTCCATCACAAAGTGGTAACTGGGGATGTATCTCGAGTCAATGACCAGATTCTGCGGAAAGTGGACACACAAAAGAACCAAACACTTTCATTACTGACCGTTCTTAAAATGTTGATGTCTAGTGTACACATTTGTGTAAGCTTGAGTTGTGAACTCTTGTTTGGAGGACTCATGACTGAATTGGCCAGCAGTTCTACACACAAATGGAACAAAGAAACTGATAATTACCATCATTGCTGTAATCTGCTTCATTATCGTCTCCATAGTCATTGTCGTCTTGAAACACTAAAAATTCATCTGCACTTTGATCACCATATTGTCCTTGAACGTGTTGACTGGTACTGGGTTCGGCGTAATCTGGAGCATGTGGAACGTTTTGATGGAAGGAAGATGATGAAGAACCGGGTGATTGAGAATGCGATGATTGTTGATGAGAAAGTCTTTCTGAAGCTGCTTGAGATGTTTGCGTATGAGGTACATCTAATGAATAATCTATTTGCATGTATGGAGTCTCTTTCTTTGGCACAATGTCGTCAGGTTCTATTTCTATTAAATCTGGATCTTCTGGTTCTAGTTTCACATTCACTGGAGTGTCATTTTGATGAGATTTTGATTGTGTGTTTAGAGATGGACGTGGACTGATTTGAGGTTGTGAGCGACGATGAACAGGAGATCTGGGTCTTGGAGACTCAGAAAAAGAAGTCCTACTGCTTTTAGCAGGTGGTAGTGGTAATGACACAGACTGTTCATGTAATCTTTTTGCCGTGTTTAACACAGGTTGTGGCTGATGAATTGGTGATATGCCACTTGAATTGTTAGTGTTTTTCTGGGGCATTAATGATCGATCTACATCGAACACAGACAGTTTTAACGTTTTGCATTCACTTTTTGAAATTATGCTTGCGTTTGATGACACACCATCCACTTTGAACGTCACTTTGTTTGCTCGTAGAGCCACTTGAACATTGGCGTCTTGAGTTGTGCCATAGGAGTTCACCGACGCAGGGAAATCAAGATGCGATTTCGTCCCTTGTTGTTGAAGAGTCATGTATAAATTACACAAATCCACTGGGATCGTAAACTCCAGCGTGTCAATGAACATTTTGACTTCCTTCACGTAGCCTCACTGTTATACTGGGAACGGTATTTGAGCAAGTAGGGTTGACACTTCACCGGCACGTTACATCACCCCACCATAGCCACTGAGCAGGTGCGCGCAAACTGAGGACAAAAGCTTTTGGTTTGGCGTCGGTTATCCGTTTCAATTCCAAGCACCTTGCACGCCGATTTACCTCTTGTTTGATTCGATGTATGTTTTTCTGGTGTAAACACGGGGTGTTTTCTTTTTCTTGAGCGTGAACACTTCCAAAATGCCTTCTAAAGTTCACGAAAATTCATCTCAAGATTTAGGCGGCCATGTTCTAATAAGCTGACCCAGTCGGAAATGCTCGGGTGTTTACGACAAGCTCCGATATTTCTAATGCAAGGATGCGAGATAGAAGATATCAGACAGGAAGGTTGCGATACGTTATAGCCAAGGTAGATAACTCGGCTTGTCCCGGAATAACACGAGTTGGTCACGAATGCTATACAATTAATTCTTCAGCCAATCGGGACTCCTCGGCTTATTCCGGTACATCCGAGGACATCCGAGTGTTTTTTAATCATGTGACGATAACACATTCTACAAACTGCGTGTGAGAGTTACTTAAATAAACAGATACAACCAGTAACACTACAAAAAAAACCACAAAAAACGATGTATGTATCAATATTTAATAGGTAAAACATAAGGGCGAACGCACAAGTGAAATGGGGAATGTTAGTATACACTGCAGCAGGTCGTGTTGTCGGCAATGTGAACAGGACTTTTTAGCATGTTTAGCTGAATTCATGCATAGTCATCGTCCACATTAATCGTCGTAAAAAAGTCCCGTGTGACAAGAAAAGATGTTATCAGTGACTTTGTCAAACAACAATACAGTATTACTAAACCCATGATCACCCAAATATAAACCAGTCAGTGTGTCGTTGAGCACTGTTTGTGAGTGAGTATGGTTTTACGCCGCCTTTAGCAATATCAGGGCGGGGGACATCAGCAATGTTTTTCACCCATTGCATCCATTTGGGGAATCGAACCCTTGTCTTTGGCTTGCCAAGCGAACGCCTTAACCACTAGGCTACCCCATCGTTGACGAACTAGATATAACGCGGAATGGTAAAAGAAGGGATGACAAGATTAGCAAAGTTTCAGTGTGTCTGCTGAACTGGTCTATACTCATTTTTAATTTATTCTTTTTCTTCAGATTCTTGCTGTTTTGAAACAAATAATTATATTGGACCTAAAACTAATGAAAACATTGTTATTGTTGGCGTTCTTTATCTAATTGTTCTCTCAGTTGTACCGTTGTTGCATAACAAGTGAAGTGATAGATTTGCAATGTGTACAATACCACATACGTCATTTTCTTTCGTAACCAATAGGTAACTTTGTGTATGTAATTGTGTGAACAGTCCTCATGGAATAACTTGACGGAAGAACTATATCCCGAGCTCCACTCAACTATTAGCAAAATATGAGAAAAAAATATCATGAAACATAAAATTATATGAAAAGCGTACAAAGCATCAGGTCTTTGAAAGGCATTTAGAAGTGATACACACAATGTAGAGGTGAAAGAATGGGCATAGCATGGGCACATTGAAGCCAGCTAGGTTATTAGCACCGACAACGATCAACACAGATCAAAGCAATAAGTCCCAAGCACTAGGCAGATAGGTTCCCTGGTCACGGTTCATGGCTGGCTGGAGTCTCCTGATGTCAATGGCTTCTTGTAGTTTTCTTTGTCGCCAGTTGTTGTTGGTAGACAGGACTTTGGTGGCTTCAATATACATAATCGAATTAAATAAAAAAACAAATTCGGTATACATTCTTTAGCCCCTCATTCATTCATTCATTCATTCATTCATTCATTTAAGTTTCTTCTTCTTCTTCTTCTTCTTCTTCTTCTTCTCTTGACAATTAAATTTGAGAGGATACACAGGATATGCAGTGTTACGTTAAAATAAAATCAGTAGTGCCTGTCTGGAAATACATTATCATGCCTTACCTAAAACATCCATAAAGTGTTTATATGAGGTGCCTTAAATGATGCCTAGATTCACGTTTAGTTTTCAGCAAAAGCAAAAGCAATTAATTTTTTTTACTGTTAAATTAATATCTAAATTGAGAATATGGCATTTGTGTGAACAATCCCCATGGCATCACTTGACGGGAAAAGAGATACATTCCAAGCTCCACTCAATGTCTCCTATTTGCAAAATGTGTACATGATATTTTAATTTTTTTTTATGAAATCAAAAGAATACAAAGTATGATTTCTTTCACAGAAATGTATATTTATAACTTCCCACACTGTTTTCACATGCCAAGACTGATATAGGTTATATATTGTTTCTTACAATATAGTGAAACATACCTATTTAGACATCAATAAGAAAATGCCACATGTGCCTATAGATCATATTCTACATTACAAGCGGTAGAAGTATATATGATTTTATGCGTCCCGCGTTAGGTTTTATACCATGAACCAGAGATGACGAATTTATCTTGCCGATATGTTTCAGTCTGGCGTTGTAAACTAATTACAACAAATTGAAAATTGACAGAAAATATCTGTTCGATTGAGCTGAGGTTAATTTGTGCCGTCATGTGACTTTCAGCTTTTTGCTCTGCAGCGGGGAACAAGACATTTGGGTTTTTTCGTTCAGAAATCCACGTGCGGTCTGTTTTCTTCGTGGCGGGGGAATGGGATTTATTCTCCCGCTCAGAAATATATTTCCCGCCAAGGCGGGATACATGGACTTAGTATTTTATCGAGATCACGTGAACGAATCAGATCATAGCAGGTACCAACCACCGTCCTCTTGGCATCCGGCATTGTCTTGGCATCTAATTTAAGAACTCTTGAGTCATATCACTGTACAAAGCTGATACAAGTAACTTATAGACTGGGATTCCCACATAGAATGCATGAAACTGAGTGCTCATAAGTTTTGGCTACTGTGTCACACTTTGTAAGAAGGAAAGACGAAAAATAAATTTCAACATTGAATTATTGGCATCCGCGTACCAGACACCCAATTGCATCAAGCGTATGGGTTTGCTGCATCTGGCGTACGAAAAGGAGGTTGGCATCCTCATCTCTGAACACTTCATTTAGGTTGCGTTGCAGAAATTGTAGAGTGAGTGAATCTTATTTTACGCTGTTCTGAACAGTATTTCAGTATTTCAGTTACATCACAGTCTGTTAGCTGTGGGAGGAGAACCCGAACAGATGCAGGTCTTGGAGGTTTTTCACTTTTGTGAAACCAGGGAAACCCACGAAGCAAATCAAATTTGGGATCATACATTTCTGGCACGCCTAAGGAACGCAGCTAAGGACAGTAAATTGTGGTATATCAGCTTAATTGTTTGTTGTCTAATTCACTCACTCACTCCATTGTGGTCACCATACGATACATGATATCATACACTTTGCGATACATGAAACATCGTTTGGTACATGTGGCTCCATGACTCATCTATTGATAGGTACATGTTATTAGGACAAATGAATCTCAAGTCACATTTAGTGACGACGGGGTAGCCTAGTGGATAAAGCGTTCGCTCGTCATGTCGAATTCCCGGGTTCGATTCCCAACATGGGTACAATCTGTGAAGCCCATTCGTGGTGTACCCGCCGTGATATTACTGACATATTGTAAAAAGTGGCGTTAAACTATACTCACTCACTCTCTTACTTATTCACATTCAGTGAACCATTAAATAGGGTAAAGGCTATTCGGACAAGTATCTCTTAAACAGGATTCCGGGGTAGAATAGGTCTAGAATATGCTTGCCGTAAAAGGTGACTATGCTTGTCGTAAAAGGCGACTAACGGGATCGGGTGGTCAGGCTCGCTGACTTGGTTGATGCATGCCATCGATCCCAACTGCGTGGATTGATGCTCATGACAACAATCACTGGATTGTCCTGTCCAGACTCGATTATTTACAGACCGCCGGCATATAGCTGGAATATTGCTGAGTGCGGCGTTAACCAACAAACCAGAACCAGAATCTTAAACAGAATTATCCCTAAGCAAAATGTGATACATACTAATCATGACCAACACAATCTTCTATTATCACCATTGCAATGCGATAAATCCTGGTACCATTCGCTACTACAAATAGCTGTCCAATCAAATAACTCATTTGCGAGAGACATTATGTGCTAAGTTTCTCATTGGCGAGATGGACATAATGAAGTCACTTTCGAAACGAAGCTACAAAACCAGGTATTGATTTTATTTAAAACTATGAGCCAACACCTTGCAACAATTTTTGTGGCAGGCAATTTCTTTTCTTTTCAAAAGTCTGAAGAATAATTATTTTATTTCAGAATTTTCGGGGGAAAATTGTTTTCTTTTATGAAATCTCAGGCTCCTCCCCACTCCCCCAATAATGTGAAATAGTCGGTCCCCAAGAGTTGAATCAAATAATTTCATGTCATCCCATCCGATGGCGTGGATCGTTGCTTGTTGTTGCAGGCATTGGTTTGCCTGATCCAGACTCGACTACTTACAAATAGGTGTGATATAGCTGGGGTATTGCTGACTGTGCCGTTATACGACAAACAAAAATAAACACTTCTTGCAGAACCGTTTTGCTTGTAAAGACAAATTAAAGCGGGGAAAAACATTTCCATTATTATAAGAAATCTCTTCTAAAGGTAGAGTCCATCGTACGATTCCGACTATATTATAAGCATGCGTTTATGAAACACTTTGAAATAGCGATGATATTAGGCGTTCGCGAAATTGTGAGCTTAATCCTGTCCCACTGGTGGCACCCATCACAAACACATGCAAAGGCAAGTCAAATGTTCATCTGAACAGTAACAACACGGCAACATATAGTACAAGTCAAACTAGGGAGTTGCACCAGCGTCTCATCAAGTGCTTGTTGTGTGCAGCCGGCTACATCTCCATAGTAAATAAGAGGGAGGTAGCCTAGTGGTTAAAGCGTTCGCTCCTCACGCCGAAAACCCGGGTTCGATTTCCCACACGGGCAAAATTTGTGAAGACCATTTCTCGTGTCCCCCGCCGTGATATTGCTAAAACCATACTCACTCACTCAATGTAATGTAATGCATATCTATTTGTTACATAAAAACAGAAGAAACAATACCAGGGCCCCGTTCCACAAAGTGATCTTAGCGCTAAGTCGATCGTAACTCCCATTCTTTAACACTGACTTACTACAGTCGTAGCGCTAAGATCGCTTTGTGGAACGAGGCCCAGGACTTTCAGAGAAAAGTTGACACCTTGAAACATTGACTTTCGGCTGGGGAGATATCTGTGCTGGAGTACTTAGATGGCCCATTCTGTTAA